AAAGCCTCGTGGTCCTGAACGCCCGTTTTCTTTCACCTGAGTGCAGGCTACTTCTCTCCTTGCACCCTCTAACAGGTTCCACCTGTGTCAGAGACCACGCTCTAACAGACAGGTGTAATCAGAGGTTTACAGGCCCCGAAATCTCCTCTCTTCTTTTTCCCAGGTGCCTGGTGGCTTTGGTCCTAGGAGTAACTTCTCACTGATGGACTGTTAGCAGAACTGATGTATGTTACCTCCACTCACACTAGACATCACTCTCATTTCCCCTTTCCGTGAGCTGCAACATGCCAGCAACCCAGCTTCCATCACACAGATGAGGACAGCTCCCTGACGGATGGTGGAGGAACAGTAACTTCAGGGTGAACAGAGATGCCTTGACCAGTTGGACTGTTACAGGACTTGCTCACAGTGGAGCTGATGTATTTTTGATCCCTTTATTACAGCAAGGTACATACCCAGGCTATTTATAAAGGCCATCTCTAGCCACTTCCAGCTCCTACTGTCCTAGATGCAGACAGTTACCCCATGTCCAGCAGACCTAAATCCCAACGTAGACAGTGGCCATCTTTCTACTGTTCCCAGCCTCCCTCTTAGAGAGAATAACATCGGTGGCCACTCGGTATTCCTGAGATTTCCTTAATCTGTATCCCAGATCAAATTCCTCTTTTCACTTGATTAACCCAATGCTACCAGCAGCTAAAGAGCTTCTATTCTTCTATCTCCATTCTCTGTTTTCTCTACTTAGATTTAAGAGATAGGAGGAAAGGTGGGGAGGAGTTGAGATCGACTTTGGAGCTCCCAGATAAGAGAAATGAACTGAAATGTACAATCTTCAGGAAAGAGGTCCATGGCTCTGATACGGTGTGATGTCAGCAGGCTCTTAGAGGTACTCCCCCATGACAGGCAGGGAAGGGCACTGAACCATCATAAAATGCTCAATATGTTACCTACAGGCAACAAAAACACACCTGACCATGGCAGACTAGTAGCCAAGGCACCCAGATCCCTCTGAATTACATGATGGGCATCTGGGTAGAAATCCAAACAAGAGAACCTTTACAAATTTCATTCAATAACTGAGCAACTATGTGCCAAACACTGTGCAAAGCCCCGAGGATGGCAAATGAGCAAGGCAGGATTCTTCCTTTAGAGGAACGCACAGACTGGCAGGGGCCACCTGATCATTCTCATATGTTTCTCATATAATTCTCATCTCCTGTGCTATGATAGCATCAAGTATGATCGATTCTGAACGGGTGAGTCCCAGAGGGCTTCAGATAAGACAGGACGTGTGAGCTTGAAGGACAGAACTTACAGGAGGAAACCTAGGCCAGGCTGAGAAGTTAAGGCAGAAGAACTGGTGGGTGGGGCTGAGAAGAGGGTAGAGGTGCAAATCTAGGGTATTCTCTAATGACCTGAATGTCTTCTCCCTGAGGAAAGGTCACCTGGCCTAAGCAAGCTCCAGTCCATGTGCCTGCCAATAGAGCAGAGTGATTAAGAACACGGCTTCAGAATGAGTCCCTTTCTGCCACTCAGGAGAGCGTGACTCTGGAACCAGTCTCTGAGGTCAAGTCCTGGCTCGACTGCTTCCCAGCTGCAGGACCCTGGGCAGGCTTCCCTAACCTCCCTGTGTCCCAGGTTCTTGCCTGTAAAATGGAAAGAATAATGGTGCTTACCTCATGGGTGGTGGTGAAGAATGAATGAGGTACAGATAAAGGGCACAGCGCTTGGCACCCAGGGATCTCTCAGGACACATTAGCCACTGATATCATTCCTAATAACTGCACTGCCCTCATCTCTCTCTTCTGTAAACTAGAGCTTTGGAAGGTTAAAGAGACAGTAAAGCCCCCAACACGGTGCTGGCCCCACTGAATGATGCTTCTGACTCCCAATAAGCGAAGGCTAACATCACCTGGCTAGAGAGGGCCTCTGGCTGAAAACCCTGGTTTACTCAGACCTCAGGTCACCAGGGAAAAGGTAGGGTGACCTAAGAAAGTGTGCAGGTCATCCTGCTGCCTACAGCACTGCGCAGGTAGCACAGGGAGGGACGTGGTCTGGGTGCTTGCCCACGCAGGGGGCAGCTGCCACTCAGCTCCTGCCTGGTCTTGCCCTGAGGGGAGGGACAGCGCTTTCCTTCCTTCCAAAGAAGCCAGAAAGCCAAATATTTAATTGGATGGTCCAGATTTTGAAATGTTAACAACTAACTCAAAAGGGCTGGAAACGCTGAGCCAACGAAACAAGCCCTGTCTCGGGCAGCCTGCAGGCCGGCGGTGCAGACACTGTGCTTCTGATTTAAGGCTGCTTCGTACGCCACATTCATGGAATCCCTTGTCAGCAGTATCCCCGTGAAAATTCTCAAGGACCCTGGTGAGGAAAGAACCAAGAATATTCCTACACAGAGATAGAACCAAGGGCCTATCTCTGGGCATCTCCATGAATTGGGCTCATAATTTCTGTTAGTGCAAGTCACTCCTAGTACCCTACTCCCCGCCCAGCACTTACCTCTTCAGCTGACATCTACATCATGCTCACTAGGAGCCGGGCACAGACCAAAGCATTTGACATACACTATCTCGGGTAATCCTTAATGACAATCCAGTGAGACACGGAGAGGCTCAGGAACTTGCACAAGGTCAAAGGCTGGGTGGGCGCCAGGCAGACGGTTCAGGGTTGGCACTCACAACCGTCACTCTACACTGCCTCTCACTGGGCCCACCAGGCTCTCAGGGGCCTGGGTCCCCCTGGGCTGGCAGCCACTTCCTCCAGGCAAAAGTGACCCTTCCCTCTCCCTGCACACATGTGACTCTACATGTAGCCACAGAAGTCAGAAACTAGCCAGACCTAGGTCTCTCAAGAGCCAGGTGTCCCAAGAGCCAAGAGCCGCAACCTCATGGTTGGGTCCCACTGCTGGCCACACATCACCCAGGGCCAGACTCAGGGACCATGTCTCCTGTCCTCATTGCCTACCTCTCATGGCAGCCACAAGACTGAGCTGGCAGTACCTCCATGATACTATCTCAGAGCCAATACTAAGACCTGAGCTCTGGGAGCTAAGTAGGCACCAGAGCCACCTCCCACCCCCAACTAGCAAGCCAACTCCTGGCGACAACCCACCAGGCCCCAGGCCAGTTGGGTGACTGGAAATTGCCAGAAGAAGCATTGCTCTCCTTCCAGAATATCGTTCCTAGCCACACACACACACACACACACACACTCCCAGAAGCCTAAGGCGTGTGAGGTGGCTGAATGAGCACCAGGGAGGGAAGAGGAAAGCTGTGTGGCACAGACCCCAGCACACTCAACAGTTCAGACAGATGCAAACAAAAGCCAGACGCTCTCGGACCCCAGAGGCAGCTTCAAAGGAGCGTGCCCATGAAACGGCCAGAATGCTCTGTCAACAGCATCTTTTCCAGCCCACAGGGATGTTTAGAAGATTAATTAGAGAAGCCTGGCAGTACTCTTGGCTCCCCAGGGAACTGGGTGAACCCATCATTCCCATCAAAAAGCTCTTAAGAAGTGTGCCTCGAGCTGGGTCTTTGTTCCACGCTGCACAAGACAACTGAGGCAGACAGACAGGGCCACCTGCAGCCCCCACATCTCGGCCACGGAGTTCTGGCAGCACATAAATGGCCAGCTCAGTGCTGCTCTGGATGGTCAAGCCACCCAAGCCCTGACCTCTGTGCCAGCCACAGTGCATGGCTTGGACAGCAGGTGGCAGGATGGACAGGAGCTGCTTCAGACTGTCCACTTCTGCCGTGGCCTCAGAAGGTCCTGATGAAAGTATGCCTCCTCCTCTAGGAAGGCTTCCTGGCCCTGCTGGCCTATAGTGACCTCTCCTGCCTCTGAAAAGGTGTTACCTATCCCTGGATTTTAACATTTGCTGCCTTGTTTGGGGTTGACATTTTAAAACACCATTTATTAAGCATTTAGTATGTGGCCGGTACTCTGTTAAGTGCTTTACATACATTAGTTGACTTAATCCTCATAATGACTCCATGAAGTGGATATGATTATGCCCATTACAGATGAGAGAGTGGCAGCCTGGAAAGGTCAAATAATCTGTGTTCCTACCCATCTGTCATTTTTCTTTCCATGGGACTGATTCTCTCACCCTAGAGAACAAACTCCCCCATGGCAGTAGAGATGATACTTACACTTTCCTCCACCCCCTGAACA